GTAAGGTGCAGGACTGAGAACGTTTCCACCAGCCGTACTTGGTCCTACTCTACTCTACTCTACTCTACTCTACTCTACTCTACTCTACTCTACTCTACTCTACTCTACTCTAAAAGCTACTCTACTCTATACTCTACTCATCTGTTTTAGAAATGTTGTATTATACCTTTTTCTTCTCTGACTCTTCTGACTTGACTGCATTAAGAGCCAAAGCAAGACTTCCTGTTTCTTACATGGCAATAAAAATGATTTTGATTCTGATCTCTACTCTACTCTATACTCTACTCTTTTCTACTGTTATCTATTCTACTCGGCTCTACTCTACCTGATTGCGTTTCCGTTACACTTTAGGGAAATTCTTTAGTAACCATGGCTTTTACAGCACTTTGACCAATCATTGTCAGTTGGGCCAAGCACTTAAGTACCAGCTCGGGCCGATTAGAATCGGGCCATGAGTGATTATAGGTACCTGGAAACGCTTCCAAACGAGAGGGAGAAGAGCTAAGTGGAGTGGAATAGGTTCTACAAGTCTACAGTCTACTCAATCTGAGTGATTCTATCTGTGCCAATCGTGACTTATACATTTCTCCAATGTGAGATCCATAAAGTCTATCTTATCTTATCTTACAGGACTGGAGTGGTTTTTTTGTACTGGATAGTTTCAAATGCTGGTGTTTCTGGTTGTAGGTAGGATGGCGCCAAAAACAGCTGACAAAGGCGCGTCACAGTGGTTAAAACTGTCCGGCACAAAAAAACAGACGAATACAAATTAACCTGGTTGGACTAGAGCAGGATCACGTAGGGTTGATGGAAACAGGGCTTTGATTTGAAAGTACGTATACATGTATATATTTAGGCACATACAGTATACGTGTTTGCGTTCTAATCTTGAAGCATAATGAGCGTCTGTGCCATGAAATAGGTTTTGTGCAGGATTTGAGCTGCAACCGCCTCGCTACCCTGCTGTTTCTATGAGAGCCCATGAACTACTGTGATCTCAAAACCTCTACATACCGTATAAATAAGATTATCACCATTGAACAGATTCTGTGCGTCTTTCCATTGATTTCCTTCTGTAGAGTTCAGTGGGTTCGATGGATCTTACTTCCTTACTAAGCGCTGTGGTTCAGCTCCAGGTCATCACATACAGTACATGTTTTATTTATTCCTATTATATGTGACATTTTACAATCCAAGAAAGCGTTACAAACTGCCTGCAGTCCCTAAGGTTTAGCTCACGACTAAATATAGCCCTCGCACTATAGACCATCTGTATCGCAAGAATCGCAGCGTGTTTTTCACCGCGTGTAGAACTGGTGCAGGCAAATACAGAGGGGTAAAAGCAGTGTTTAGTCAGACAACAAATGTGCAAGTCCTCCCACTTAAGAAGATGAGAGAGGCTTGTAATTGTCTTCATACTGTAGGTTTACCTCAACTGTGAGAGACAAAATGAGACAAAAAATTAAAAAAAAATCACATTGTCTGCCCCAAAACATGACTGCTCTAGAAGAGATCTGCATGGAGGAATCGGAGAAAATATCAGCAATAGAGTGTGAAAACTTACCGGAAACGTTTGACCTCTGTCAGAATGTACATCAATGTATTGAAGAAGAAGAAGAAGAAGATTCTACCAACTGAGCCACTGTCGCCCCAAGTATTGACTAAATACTTATTTTTCACCATAATTTTCAAATTCTATGAATTGAGATTTTTGTCCATTTTGTCCTTTTGTCTCAGATAGTCGAGGTATTGAAGTGAGAGAACTTGCACATTTGGTGTCTGACTAAACTTTTTTCCCCACTGTATGGTTGGTTCATAGACCTCTGGATCAAAGGAGAAATCAATGTACAGTGAGTTAGAACGAAGACAGTTTTCTATATTTGTGCATCTAAGATATTGCATTCCACACCAGAGTACTTTGCTCTGGTGCGCTCAGTCTGTTTTGTAGCAGCCATTGTGAACAAATTGAACACTTTAAAAAAAAATCTAGATCTTTGGAAATAGACACTGATGGTTGCACTAAAAGCTCGTCTGGGAATAAAAAGTCCATTTGTACAAAGCTGAATACCTCTGCACAATCTGGTATTAAATAAGCCTCAGTACGAACATTACTGCAGGAATACTGATTTCTCTTACTTTCTTTGGCTGAGAACAATGTTTAATAGCACGTGGCTCAGTAATGTTTTCTGAGATAAATGTTGTGTTTCTTTGTTCCTTCACGTCCTGTCTTGCGTTTCATGTTTTTCCTTTCCATTATGACTTGGGTTGTATCTCAATTCTTCTTGAACTCATTGAATAGCATATGTAAACCAGACATGTCCTTTTTCCCTTCACCTCCCTGTGAAGTCTCTCTCTCTACTGTTCACATAAACTTGACCTACTGAGGATAGAGCTGTGTCCAAATTCATTCCTGCGCCCAGTGAGAAATTCTACCACAATAATAAAACATACATTGGCCGCAGGTTTTAAAGAACTTGAAACAGGTATTGGCTTACATGTAGATACATGTCAATAGAAATGAGGAATGTTTATTTTGTTCCATTTGTAGACAATAAAACTTAATATCCATCCATCCATCCATTTTCTATCCTTTAATCCATTTCTGGGTCAGGGGGGTGGCAGTCAGAGATGCCACCCAAGTCTCATAGCACCAGCCCCTCACTGACCCTCTGCAGGTGGTGAGTCCACAGGAGGACGGCTGCTCTCTGAGTGTGAGCATAGCCTTGATCTTTCAGTGGGAGCTTTTGGGCAAAGTGGGGTTAAGTGTCTTGCCCAAGGACACAACGACAGCAGTCGTGGGAGTCGGTGGAGAAGGATAATTAATAAATTAGATTAAAATAATAATAATAATAAAAATAATAATTTATTTAATAAAACTTAATAAACTTGTGAAATATTCTGAAATCAAGTTTGTATTTAAATCAACTATGATTTATTGTGGTGGCTCTTACTGTACCGTCACTGCTCTGGATCTTTCTCAGGGGCAAAGCAGAACTCCGAGCCGAGAATGTTTGGGTATAAATAGACCGTTTTAATACTTTATTAAAGATTATTAATAGAAAGTGGAAGCGGCTGTTGCAGCGTAGAGTAGAGGATTTCTTCACAGTTTCGCGTGTCTTTCCGGAGGGACATGAATTCTTTATCAGAATAGTTACAGTGGTTAGAATGAGTCGTGGGTGAAACAGCCTTTTGGAATCCATCGTTTCTTCATCAATATTCAGTTGTTTTTGTATAGCTCTAAATCACAACAGTAGTTATCTCGGAGGACTTTACAAAACCGGCAAATCGGCAACACAGAGCAGAGAACAGTTCCAACACAGGACATGCCATAATTAAAAAACACATAGAGCCATTGGTCTTTAAGGGGCAGATGACCAAAGTCCATAAATGTTGATGAAGTCCATAAATGTTCTTGAATATCGAGTGTCCTGGATCATCGCCACTGTCCTTGGACCTCCCTGGATACAGTACTGTATGTGTGCAATAAATAACATTGTGCATGAGCTTTTGGGAAGGCAAGTCAAGTTTATTTGTATAACACAGGTCATACAAAGGGGGCGACAGTAGCTCAGTTGGTAGAGCATTGGCCTTCAGGCTTGAAGGTCGTGGGTTCAATTCCCACCTCTACACCTTCTCCACCGACTCCCGCTGATGACTGCTGTCGTTGTGTCCTTGGGCAAGACACTTAACCCCACTTTGCCCAAAGCTCCCACTGAAAGATCAAGGCTATGCTCACACTCAGAGAGCAGCCGTCCTCCTGTGGACTCACCACCTGCAGAGGGTCAGTGAGGGGCTGGTGCTATGAGACTTGGGTGGCATCTCTCATTGCCACCCCCCTGACCCAGAAATGGATTAAAGGGTAGAAAATGGATGGATGGATGGAGGTCATACAAAGTCATAAACTCACACAAGGCATTAAAATCACGAAGGATCACAGTAAATTAAAAAGAGTGAAGATACAATTCCTTGAAACTGTTTTTAACCTGTATTTAAGCATTGACCCTCGGACGAGCTGGAGGAAGTGTGTTTGTTTAGGGAAGTCTGGGCGTCTCTGCTTAGACTGCTGCCCCCGTGACCCGGCAACGGATGAAGCGGAAGAAAATGGATGGATGGATTTAAGCATTGCCTTAGCGTTCCCAATTTTCGGTTGATAAATTAATCTGGTTCTAGCCTGAATTATCCCGTTGAGGCTTTTTAAATGTAACTGGCGGTGACCCAACTGTAAAGGGATGGATGATGATAACCTGCTAGCTTGATGAAATGCTAAACTGCTAATAGGGAGATTTCAGACTTTAGATTAACCCTCACTAATTAACAGCTAATAAAGTGCTAACTTGTGTATGAACCCAAACCCACATGGGAAAGTGTCAGTACTTAATTAGCTAGACAGTACTTATTTAGCTGTTGAATAAGCCCTCCGTAGAATATGGACTGATAAGTATTAAATAAATACCAATTTATAGCTAATTAACCATGAAATATACACTAATTATCATGTTTTATGCTGTTCTTTAGTAAGTGTGACTAAAAAACTAAAACTGACTGTGACTGAAAATTCTGTTCTCAAATGACAGTAACTAAATAGTTGTAGGGGCGGTGGTGAGAGGGGAGAGCCAAAATGCCTGCGTAGTGCTGCCTCAGGGTCTTGGTAGAGTCTGGACATGCATGAACTGGCCTCAAAAGGACTTTTAAAGGAGGAGGGACCACGATTACAACATGGCTATAATCTTTCAAGTCAATTTTCCATAGTAGGTCACCTTTAATGTTGGCCTGGTTTGAACTGCCTCTGCTTCAATCAAACTCTTTATCACAGCCAGTTTATTACATTCTCACAGACACTCACGAGTTGTATGCTACAGTTCACACAAGGCAAGGAGAATTCATTTATAGTTTAAAGTTAGAAGTTTCTAATGATTCTTCACAATAAGACGACAGCCCGAAGGCGGATCTACCCTGGATCCATAAACGCTTTGACATTTCTCTGCTTTTCCGTCTCTCAGTTTGGACCAATGTGGAGCCGAGGTCTGTGCCGGTGTTTCCATGGCACTCGCTCGTCCCCTTCCTCGAGCCCAGCCAATCGGGAGCAGCGGTCCCGCCCACTGACGGACAACCGGTTGTCAATCAAAGCAAAGGTACGGCACTAACTGATCGAAAGGACTGGTTTTCAAACGGAGGGAGCTGTTTGAAATCTATTTTTAACACATTCTATGTCAACTCAATTTATTCTTGAAATTGCCAGCACCCCTCAGAGAATCAACAGTTCAACCAGAAAAAAATATAGAACAGATGGAATTGGTCCATACGGAGAGACTAATGTCCATAAATGTTATAGAATGTTAGAGTGTCCTGGATCATCACCACAGTACAACAAGGAAAAACTCTAAATCCCAGTGGGCGAAAAGAGAAACCTCAGGTAGGTCCACATTAAGAGAGGGATCTACTCCACACAAACGGACGGGCTGTAGATCCAGGACCTAAGCTACAGAACGAAAAGATACACACACACACACACACATTTATCATCAGTGTTGGGTGTAACGCGTTACAGTAACAAAATTACAATTTGAGTAACGTAGTAGTGTAACGCGTTATTATGAAAATACGTTAAATTATATTACAGTTACTACCTAAATACTTTGTTACCGGCGGCACCGGCCTCGGGAAAGCAAGGGGAAGCTGCACTACTGCTGCGTGCGTGCCTGCGTGCTTATGTCACGTTGAGAACATGAACAAGTTTGTTTGTAAAGCAACATGGCAGAGCCAGAGGAGAGGAATTTGTTTTAGCGGTGGAGATATGCACACTATTTTAACTATATCAGTCAAAAAGATAAAAACTTTGTGAACAACAAGCGAACACTCCGTTCACATGCTCAGCGCTCTGCGCACTGTATTTTCCCTGGTTCTTGTCTGTCAGGCGCGAGGGCTGCTCGTGTGGGTCTGTGGGAACTAATTATTTTAAAATAGTCTCTTTCAATTGCAAGTTTTATGATGTGTTTTTTTTTATCAATGTCTAAAAATAAATGCAATGAAATTTAAATGGCACCTTGGCCTGTCTTATTATTACCTGTGTGCTGCAGGATAGTTCCCTTTACTAACATATAATACTCAAATAGGGTTGGGTTGTTGCAACAATTAATCTACTTAGAAGTTATCCTAAATTACAACCAGCTAAAGTTCGGTACCACGACAAACGAAAAAGTAACGCAATAGTTACTTTTACTGGTAACTAGTTACTTTTATAGTGGGGTAACTAAGTTAGTAACTAGTAACTGTAACTAATTAATTTTTCAAAGTAACTTACTCAGCACTGTTTATCATATATATTCATACTCACTGTTTTGTGTCCAGAGCCTCGTTGTGGAGTGGCGCTGGTGAGTGACGGACACAGCGGTCCTTCAAACTCGGACCGCGGATCTCCTTCCTGTCCTCTACCGACCAATGAGAATCCTCCTCCTGCCGAAAGGGGCGGGGCCGACAGCGAGACTGAGAGCGACACCGACGACCCGTGAGTGAATAAGATCTTTGTGTGTTTACATTTACACATCACTGCTGAGCTGCTAACACACACATTTGCATCAGCTACATTAATGCCTAGCGTACATCGGACTGGCAACTGATTATATCCGTCACATATGAGTTGCTGCCCCGCACACATCGACAATCTGGCGAAAACGGGCAACTCCTAGTAGCAGACCAGTCTGGGGAATAACAGCGCGTACATCGACAGCAACTGGCCTCAACTACAGTGTGTTCTCTAGGATAAACTGTAGAGGGCGCAATACACGCAACACACACATGTTTTTGGAGCGCGCACATCGAGTGATATCTCCGGATCTGAGTAAAACTAGTTGCCGAAAAGTAGAACACGGGCAACTGACTGAATCCGGAGACCGACTGTTTATCTCCAGTTGTACAGTAAGAGCGCTCACATCGACCGATTTTGGCAACTGATCCTCTCCATCATCTACTCTCAGTCGCCAAATGCCGCCTTGCAACTAGTTGTCTCCAGTTACTCTGTCCATGTACACTAGGCTTTAGTCGTTTTAGCCACAGAAGAGTTTAGCTGCTGCTTGATAATGTGAGAGAACCGTTATTCTTGTTGTTACATGTAAAAAGAAGATTATTTACAGGAAGAGGAGATTATAGAATGTCCTTCTCTGTCGCTGATATAGAAAATCAAATAAGCGCAACAGTCTTGACCAATCAGGTGATGTTGGATCATTTCTAGACGCACACCCACGTGCCACGGCCCCCTGACTGATAATCACTGGTATAAAGGGTGAGCAATATACAGCCTCACTTCAGCCCCACCTTTTTGACTTCTCGCTGTAATTGAATTGTTCTGGAATGAGTGATTGGAGGATTGGCTTTGAAAACTCTGGAAAAACCTCTCCACGGATCTGATATTTAACAATGAAACACTATATTTAGGACTGAGGCTGTAGATCCAGGACTGAGGCTGTAGACCCAGGACTGAGGCTGTAGATCCAGGACTGAGGCTGTAGACCCAGGACTGAGGCTGTAGACCCAGGACTGAGGCTGTAGACCCAGGACTGAGGCTGTAGACCCAGGACTGAGGCTGTCGATCCAGGACTGAGGCTGTCGATCCAGGACTGAGGCTGTAGATCCAGGACTGAGGCTGTAGATCCAGGACTGAGGCTGTAGATCCAGGACTGAGGCTGTCGATCCAGGACTGAGGCTGTAGATCCAGGACTGAGGCTGTCGATCCAGGACTGAGGCTGTCGATCCAGGACTGAGGCTGTCGATCCAGGACTGAGGCTGTAGATCCAGGACTGAGGCTGTAGATCCAGGACTGAGGCTGTAGATCCAGGACTGAGGCTGTAGATCCAGGACTGAGGCTGTAGATCCAGGACTGAGGCTGTAGATCCAGGACTGCGGCTGTAGACCCAGGACTCAGGCTGTAGATCAGTTGTTGGACCTGCACCTCCTTTGGCAAATGCATCAGACCCAGAGTATGTCAGCTTCTATTCGAGCCGAGGCGTAGTAGTATTGAACCAGTCATTGACTAATATAGGACACCCGTGGTTCATAATGATATCCTCGGAACATTTTAAATCTCAATATAGAACAAAAGCAACTACCATAATGCTTTGCGCCTCGGAGGGAGGCTGTGTGAGCTTTCTGTATGAATTTATCTGAAAATGTATTTTTTTTCCCGTGTGGTTCTGATTGTGAGTAAAGCTTCTGCAGAAGAAAGGTTCTGCAAAATAATTGGCAAAACGATCCCAAACCAAAGCATGTCTTCCATCTATGGACAGTGGTCATCCTGCTCCCTAAGAAAGCAAACACATTGGAGCCATTGCTATGTGTGTTAATGCTAATGCTAATCTTAATATTGCATTTTGTGGGTTCTAATTGTTAGTTTCTTTGTGAATGGACAACTGCATCCAGCTTCTTTTTACTTACCTGCTCTAGTTTTTCTGTTTGTGTTTAGTGCAGCACTTTGAGTTGCCTTTTTGAACTGTGCTTGACAAATACATCCAATTCAATATCTTATTGTACAGCCCTAAATCACAACATTAGTTATCTCTGAGGACTTTGCAAAGCATGTCGATTCGCCCACCCAGATCAGAGAATCAAACTGTTCGAACACAGAAAGTGGAATAATACAAAACACATAGAGCCATTGGTCCATTAGGGGTGAATGACCAACGTCCATAAATGCAAAAAACCCTAAAAACTCAGTGGGGAAAAGTGAGAAACCTCATTGAAGACCCACATTGAATAAACTTGCCTTTTTTCCACCTGTAAAAAGACCTTGAACAAGCTGGAAGCAGTCTGAAAAGAAAAAGCAATTATATCACTTGCATAAGTCGTGAAAGTCTTGTATGTTATGTCTCCTTTAAAGACCTTATGACGGGTTTGATTTATTTAGAAAATACAGTTTTAATACCATTTTATATTAGAAGAGAACTACTAAAGGTTTCAAAATCAGTTGTTGTTTTTTTTGTCTGATCCCCCCAAATCGAAATAACCCCATAGCAACGCCCTTAGAAACGAAAAAACTTCACAGCCCTTGGTGACGTCAGAGTGGGTACGTTTCAACGCTGTAAGTTGTTTACAATTTGGTATTCGTTCTTTTTTCGCGGATATTCAAGATGACAAGGCCGTGTACAGCAAGTCTAAGATAACTACTAGAATATAACATTACATTGTCACTGAGATAGTCCAGTGGTTGTGTCTATGGACTGCCAATCCAGATACTTGGGTTCAAATCCCACCTCGGAAACTTTTTCACTCTCAAAACGGCAATTTATGTGTAGTGAGCAATTGTCAGAGGTGTGGACTCGAGTCATGTGACTTGGACTCGAGTCAGACTCGAGTCATGATTTTGATGACTTTAGACTCGACTTGACCAAATATAAAAAGACTTGCAACTCGACTTGGACTTTAACATCAATGACTCTGACTTTCACTTGGACTTGCGCCAATTGACTTGTAAAGACTTGCGTAACCCGGGCCATTTTTACCTTTCTCCGCATCTCTCTTTCTATCTATGCCCGATGCCGTCTCTGAAGAAACAAAGCCTCGCGGCAGTTGTAGCGCTCGCGAGAGAGTTCGAACGTGAGTTCCCCGCAGTTCGCGCAGCAACACTTCCCTAAACAAGCGGACTGCATTCACCGGTGGGTGTGTTGTCTAGGGGAGCTGGAAATGAGCGAGCTGCAGGTATTTATCGCGACCTAACGTCATACTTTGTTCTACAAACCGTAATTGATATGCTTTCACTACAGGCGCCTCATACAATTGAATCGACGCAGTTGTCACACTGTGTGCCGTGTTTTAAAGAGGAACTGGTGAGTCAAACTAGCGCTAGCCTGCGCTGCTCTGTTGGCTCTTTCTTATATTTTTCTGTGTGGGCGCAGAGGCCTATTATGAGTATGTTTTTGCTGTGTCCTCCTGCTAAAGTTTGCATACATTAGATAGTTGTTTTGATTATGTGCACTAAGCTAGATTAATATTTGCACTATTGTTTATGGTGCATTGATATGAGAATCAGTGCTTTGACTGATTGAATTAATTTATATGAGACATTTTATTATGTAATGATATATTGGTAATTATGAGATATTGCTAATGCTGGTCCAGTTGATGGCGAGCTGCCCCAGGTCCAAAGCCTAGACCCCTCATACTACCCCTATTCTACAGTAGGACATTTGGAACAATAACCACTACGGACATTAAACTGATTATATAGATACAGGTCCTAGCCCAATACTCATATTCATATATGCTGCACTTGCTACTTCCCATTAAAAACCCCAAAGATAAAAAGTATGTTGACACGGACTGCTCTGATTTTATGTGTGGTCTGTGCATGTGTAACTGAGCCTGCATCTGGCACAACATCCAATTAGATCACGTAGATAGTTTTGATTTATCAGCAGCCAACGACATGGAACAAACTGTTAGTCCATGGGTCAGAGACCAACGAGAATGCACCAGCAAAATGATTCCTAACATTATTTTGTTTGCCTACAAAAGTACGTGGAGACCAACAAGAAACAAATCGCGGTCAAAAAGACTCGAGAGGACTCGAAAGTCAAACCGTAGGACTTGGGACTGACTTGAGATTTGTTGGCCTTTGACTTGGACTCGACTCGGGACTTGCCTGTCTTGACTCGTGACTTGACTCGGGACTTGAGGGCAATGAATTGAGACTGACTTGTGACTTGCTAAACAATGACTTTGTCCCACCTCTGGCAATTGTCACCTGTAGAGGGCAGTATTGTGTTGGGCATCAGTGGAGAGAAGAGAGAAAAGGCAGTCCTGTGGCATAGATCCATGGTTTTCAATGCATGGGCGTTACCCGCTGTGACGTCACACACAGGTTAGAGCATAGACAGCTTAAATTCATGAAAAACACTAGGAATTTTTTTGCCGGAATCTCTTTCAAATTGACACTGTCATGCAATTTTGATATCCACTATTTAAAAAAAAAAAAAAAACCCGTCATAAGGTCTTTAAAACCACATTCACAACATTCTCCTTTTCATGATAAACTGTTTCCCACCAGAAAGAGTTTCAGCGAGTTTGAGAATCACTGCAGTGCATAACATACAGTAGTGCACTTTATGTAACTTATTGTTCTTTATAATGGCTCGCTTATACATTAGAGCGTTGTGAAGTGAACAGATGCGCCGAAATCCGCCTGGAGAAACACAAACAGACACGCACACGCAGAGTTTTAGCTTTAGTTTTTTGCGTGTTGTTGTGAGGATGCTCTGGGTAACAGCTGGCTGGGCTCTTTTGCAGTGACTCAGACGGACTGCGTGGCTGTCTGGCTGGATCCGTGGTGTTCAGGGTCAGCTCGTTGTTAGATGGAAGAAGAAAAAAAAAGCCGCGAAAAAAGAAATGCAATCAATGTATCATCTTGCCGTGGAGAGGGCTTTTGCAGATACACACAACGCAGAGAGGCGAAGGCCGGACGGTAATTACGAGATGTCCGCCGCCGCGCAGTCTGCTCAGTTTAAACTTCTGTCTAAC